TCATCTCTGTGACGGATGTGTGTAATATTATGTGCGCTGGTAACTTGAACTACAAATTCCAATATGTTGTGGTGACGGTGGATGAAATTGTTTCCGGTATTTTTTCGTGTCTTTTCGTAGGAAGTAAAATTGATTAAAAAAAGGCAAGTAAAATAGCCGTTTTAATTTCTTTTGCATTGTTATTTTATAGAGTATACAGGAATGACATTATTTTTGACTCTATTTTGGAAATTTATATAAAACGTTAAAACACGTTAACTTTCAAATTAAATTGTATATTTTCTGACTTTTCCGAACTAAAATATAAATATACAGCGTGATTCATGTAAGTCTAGCACTGTCAGTATTCCATTTTTTCAATGGAATGCCCTATATCATTTCATATTTTTGAAAGCTTAATATATCGATACCTTTTTGCCAAACTGACGTAAGCGATATTTGTTCAAATGGCCCTTACGATAGTCTAGTAAAAAGGTATCGATATATCATGTATATAAAACCGATGAAGTTGTCTTAGATGAAGGTGATTTTCACCCCTTTTTGTGTATTGAAGTCCCCATTAAAATTAGAGTTAAGTACAGACCAAGTGCAGTATAATTATAAAAAATCAGATTTTCCAAAATTATACAACTCACTACTCAATATTAATTGGACTTTTCTTGATTCTGCAGTGTTGATAAAAGTCTTCAACTATTGAACAATTACTATTAATTAGCCCATACCTGTTAAAAAACCTAACTCTAAGACCTATCCTTCTTGGTTTAATGGTCATATAATTCATATGAATCGTCAAAAAGAAAAAGCATGACCAACCTACTAATTCACTTGATCCATTTACTAAATTTAAGAACCTTTGAGACCAAATTAAACAAGACATTTCTATAGCTCGTTCCTCATATTTGAGATCAATTGAAAATAATATTAATCATGATCCAAAACAATTTTGGTCATACTTAAATTCTAAAAATTCTTCCTAATAATGACTGTATAGAAGATCCACAGGCAAGAACCTAAAGGGTACAAAAATTAATATAGTTTGGGGCACACTGTATAATAGATTGCGACGTGCTCTTCGGGCACGTCGTTAACCATAATATCTGAACATACTTCATTGTTAACGACGTGCTCGAAGAGCACGTCGCAATCTATTATACAGTGTGCCCCAAAAATGTTTATACACATGAGAAAAAGTTTTGTTGAAAAAAAAACAATAAACTTTTTAAAAATTATTTATGAAATAGAACTCAAACAGTAAAAATCAACATTTTAAGTGAAAGAAAATGTATTAAATTTGGTATACCACAAGGTACTATGTTAGGTCCTATCCGTCCTATCCTCTTTATTATTTATCTCAACCGTATTCTTACTTATTCAAGTGCGTGTAGATCAATATGCTTTGCAGATGATACGGCAATTGTTTAATCTGATAATACCTGGACAAATTTAAAAAAAAAACTGAAAATGATTTAAAAAATATACTCGATTTATTTAGTCATAAATTACTCATCGTTAATTTCGGAAAAACTTATTTGTGCCTTTTTCTAACAATAAATAATTGTTTTTTTTTAATAAAACTTTTTTCATGTGCATAAAAATGTTTGGGGCACACTGTATAATAGATTGCGACGTGCTCTTCGAGCACATCGTTAACCATAATATCTGAATACACTTCATTGATAACGACGTGCTCGAAGAGCACGTCGCAATCTATTATACAGTGTGCCCCAAAAATGTTTATATACATGAGAAAAAGTTCTGTTGAAAAAAAAAAACAATAAACTTTTTAAAAATTATTTATGAAATAGAACTCAAACAGTAAAAATCAATATTTTAAGTGAAAGAAAATGTATTAAATTTGGTGTACCACAAGGTACTATGTTAGGTCCTATCCTCTTTATTATTTATATCAACAGTATTCTTACTTATTCAAGTACGGGTAGATTGATAAGCTTTGCAGATAATATAGCAATTGTTTACTCTGATAATACCTGAATAAATTTAAAAAAAAGATTTGAAAATGATTTAAAAAATAGGTATACTCATTTAGTCATAAATTATTCATCTTTAATTTCGAAAAAACTTACTTTGTGCCTTTTTCTAACAATAAATAATTGTCTTTTTTTAAATAAAACTTTTTCATGTGCATAAAAATGTTTGGGACACACTGTATAATAGATTGCGACGTGCTCTTCGAGCACGTCGTTAACCATAATATCTGAATACACTTCATTGTTAACGACGTGCTCGAAGAGCACGTCGCAATCTATTATACAGTGTGTCCAAAAATGTTTATATACATGAGAAAAAGTTTTGTTTAAAAAAAAACAATAAACTTTTTGAAAATTATTTATTAAATAGAACTCAAACGGTAAACATTTCTAATACCTTCAAGTGCCTTACTAATCTCTTGCTGAGTTACTTGCGGATTATCGCCACGGTGGTATTGTTGAAATCGGGTATAGTAGGATCTAAACCTGATTAGAGATGATGTGTTCTTCATGATGGGTGTCGTGCTTTCGAAGATGTTCTACTTCAGTAGCTGACGGCGGGTTTTCAATTACAGGTTGTGGGTCATCAAGTAGTCTAGAGGGTTTGGTGTGGAAGGTGTTGTTATCCTTAATTCCGCTAGCTTTCTTGATTTGGCTCTTCTTTATGATCCCTAAAGAGCGTATACGATCTAGGCAGCGCTGCTTGATTGTAAGCAGCCTTGCCACAGTTTATTGCTAAAGAATCAGTTAGCTCACTTGGACCAGTTGAATGTTCTGTAATAATTGGCATTATTATTTTTAAAATATAAAGAATTTAACAAAAATCCCAAAAATATCTAATATTTTTAATATCTATTAAATTAACACAACATAGTTATTAAAACCAAACAATTAGAAATAGTTCATTGTACTAGAAAATTAAAGGACAAATCGTGCGAATAATCATTAAAAATAAATAAGTAGAGTTTCTTTTTAAAATAATCACGTTAAGGTTGATATAAATAGAGAGTCAATCGTTGACACAAAAAAGACTCAAGGGGCGGCCGTTGGGCCAAACCTATGCCCAAAAATGTAACTTAAAAATGTATTAATATCTATTATATATAGTAAAGTGTGTTGTAGTGTTTTAGTTTCAAAGGTAATATCTATTTTATTTTAACATGTTTAAATCTCTTGTTTGGGTTATGTATTTTAAAACAGTTCATTAGTCTTTCTTCAAATGCCAATTCTTTCATTTTCGTCCCAAGTTTACTTATTAAATGTTTATCAGTTTTAAGGGTTTTATCATATAAAGAGTTTTTTTATTATAGTTAAAGTTTTTGTGATGTAAAATGTTTCATTTTATTAAAGTTTTATCATAGATTATATTCTATTAACATGGTTTATCATAATAAAGATTTTACAATTATGAGTAGTAATTTTTGCTTATCTTATTTCAAAAATAAAGATTGTTTTGATTTATTAAAATTGTTAATAATTTTTTTACTTATATATAAATATACATGTTATTGTTTATTAACCTATTTTATTCTCACCTCTTTCCAAAAACCAGTAAGAAATATTCCGAGCATGTTAAGCCTCGGCGTTCCTACCCTTAAGGACTTGAGAGTCTTAAGTCAGTTGCCAAAACCGCTCGACATATGCTATTAAGGGATGTTTTTTTTTGTATTTTTATTATTTTCTTTTATTATTTTATTTTGCCACTGGCGAATGGATGTTCCTTCAGGACGCCAGGACCCTAGGGCTGGTGACAAGCGCTGCCTTTATCCCTTAATAGTATAGTAACAGTAGCTAAAGACCTATCAGTAGTTACAAATGGTCTTTAGGCTAACTGGTTGTTACATTTGGTGACGAGCGTTGGTCTTAGGCAAACTGGTTGTTACAGTTCCAAAATAATATCCACTCCAGGGATACACATTCAGGATGCGCAGATGACTGCTGTTTGAATATAGGCGATTGTCATATATTTGATTGGTTATAATTTTATTCTGTATGCGCCAGGGATACAAATCCGAGTTGCGCAGTGTATAAACTGGAACATTGAGATCAAAAGTGCCGACGCAGAGTGAGCGAACTGATTCTTTAACTATAAACTGTGGCCTTGCCTTATTCAGAGTGTGGTGTTGTTGACGAAGTTGTCTCGGTCTTTTTCTGATTTTTCCAGTAAAAGGCCGCTTAGCTGTAATATATTCGACCACATACTGTATACAAGAAGCCTGTTGCCGTGACAGAAGGATTTTATTGGTGATTTTGTGTATTCGGCGTTCCGTTTTGAGTATTCTATCTTCATAGGTGTTACCTTTAGCATTTTCCACGACATTGTTAAGGGTTATAATGTCTGTTATTTCTGAAAGTTCTCCAGCGAGAGCTGCATCCATGTTGATGATATCCTGCGGTTTGATATTACACTTGATGTTAATTCTTGTTTGTCTTAGAGATAGTCCATTTTTGGTGTTCTCGGGGTAAACGTGCTGGGTTTGAGCCAACTCAAATAAATCAGTTCATCAACGTGTCTACCATTAATGTACCTTTGCTTTACTTTTATTCTGTATCTCAAGATTAAGTTATTTAGTTTCTAAAAAAGTTGATCCCAATATGTCAATGGGTATTGCGATAGAAATAGACTTTCTTACTGTGAAAACTGGGAACTGTTGTAGTGTTGCAAAACTCAAAAGAGCGAGAAGAACAAGAAGAATAAGTTTTTGTAATGTTATAACGATTGGTATTGATGTTTGATGCTATGCTGATTGCTATTTAGAATACACATTGAATTTTTATGATTCAACTATTCCAAAATAGCACTTTAACGTTAATGGTTTGGTTTAAAGTAAAGGAAGACATCGGATATGTCGGAGATCGTTGTAAACGTGAACGACAATATCGTTGTAGGTATAGAAAATTTAAAAAAAGGTTGTATCTAACCAAGTTCAAAAGATTCTCTAATTAAGAATAATTGATTTATTAAATATTAAGTTGGTTTGCAATTTTATATTCGAATTTTTTGTATTCCAGGTCGGCTCGGCCAACGGCATAGGCCTCCAACTCTACGGCCCTCACATCCAACCGCGCCACTGCGTCATCACCATAAACGCCGCCGACGGCGTAACGTCGCTTACGCCTTGCCACACGGACGCGCACACCTACGTCAACGGTCAGCGCATCCACCAAACGACAGTTCTACAGCACGGCAGCCTCGTAAAATTCGGCCACAGCAATACGTACAGGTTTCTGGATCCGGCGCACGAGGATCGCACCAGACCGGCCTTCGGCAGCTCAGGGGGGCTGGATACCGTTGGTGGGAGGATGTACGAGAGGTGAGTTATGCTTGTTTTTATACGAAATGTTTTCATACCTAGACCAAACTGTCACAACTCCAAAAAAATAGCTATTTTAATGGTAAGAAATGAATTTAGCCTTCGGTGTAATACCATTATCTATATCTACATGGTGCTCTTCCAATCAGGTACTGTGAGACTTTTAGATCACCCAGTTTTTAGCTGTTCCTCAGTTTTGTCAGTCTGGCTATTCTATTTGCCATCTGATACCTTCCATTTTGTTTTATTTCATATCCTATGCCTTTTCATATTTTCTAACGGTCATATCTATTTTCGTAAATATCTTGGTTGGTTCTTCTTTCATGTTCCTCTTCTGTTTTTATTTCCTCCAACGATTTTTCTAATTTTCTTGCATTCCCACCATCAGCAGTCTTTCTTGATGTTCTTGTTTTGTTTTAATGATATTCTTCTTTATTTTTGATTACAAAGTCTTCACTACAAGCTCACCAGTAATGGCATCGAAGTGGCCACTCCCAGTTGCCACTCTTGACATTTGTGACACATGACAGTACAAATCTTAAGCCTCTTTCACATGACGACACGTCCATAACATGTTTATTTTCATGTTGAAGTTAAATAATGACTTAGGTCTGAGAATTGTTTGGTAAATTTATATTTTTGAAGTTGCTTTGGAGTTAATAGTTCATTGCTTTTGTAATTACTTTTATTTCTTGAAGTTTCTATTTAAAGATGAAAAATATATATCTCCCTAAATTTAAAAACTTTCCCATTGGTTCTTTAACACTTTCACTGCTGATGACGCACATGCGCGTCATAGAAAGTCCCCACTATGTACTAACGACGCACATGTGCGTCATAGGAAGTCCTCCACCATGTACTAACGACGCACATGTGCGGCATCCGTTCATTTTGTTTTCAAGCTTCAGAATATTCGGCACCGGTCAAAAGGGCTTTAATTTGCATTCGCAGTGAAAGGGTTAAATATATAAAAAGTCAAGAAAGGTCAGTTTCTGATCAATTAATTACTGATCTTATAATAAATCTTCTTTCTTAAAATTGAATACAATTAAAAAGGTGTTACATTATTATTTTATTTTTGTACGTTTTTTTTTTAATTTGCTGTATTTTTATTTTTTGCATTTTTACTAATTATTATTATTATTATTATTTTTGTTTTATTTTTTTTTGCTTTTTTGCTTAATACAGTCGCTCGCCGCGTGCCTTAAGCCCTACCGATCAATCACAATCTCGAGAAAATATCGAAACGACTTTCGATCTTGACGGCAATGTCGAAACTGTCTCTACAGCTAGCGGGGCCAGAGATGATAATAGATCCTTAGGATCGTCATCTGAAAATAGGTAAGAATTGAAACTAATAGGTGGTGGTAGTTTTTTTTTTTATAGTAGTTTCAGAATTTGTGCGAATATTCTCGGTAACGGGAAAATAGAGACTTTAAAAGGCCCAAATACGGCAGAGAGGGACTTTTTACTTATAGAACTGAATGTTATTATTAATATTTGAAGGTTAAGCGGAATCGACAGATATCCTCGAGGACAAGACCCCATCCTGCCGGCCGTGTTGGAGTTTCCCGAAGAACCGCAAGAGCAGTTCCTCGCCAGAGTCATTACGCATTTGGACGTCACGACGCCGACTTTTAGGTTGGCGCCGGCGTACACGCTCTACCTTTGCGCGAGGTATAGAGCGTCGACGCACTACCGACCCGAATTGACGCCCACAGAACGGGCTCATAAATTGACGCTTCTGTTGCAACATGCTGCCATGTTGATAAGGTAAGATAGGCAAGTCCTGCTAAAGTGAGATCTAGTATTAATTAATTAATGGTGTAAGAGTAGATTCCAAAAAATCGAAGTTATTACTTTTTTAATATCAGATTAACCATTTTATTATTATTTTAAACACAATAAGAATTAAATTAATTACATCAATTTAACCAAACTACATGAATATATTTAACTAAATCATACTAAATTTAAATTAATTAATCAAACTAAATCAATTAAACCAATTAAATTTAAAATAAATCAATTAAATTTAAAATTAAATTAGATTAATTTGTCAAACCAACTTAGATTAATTTATCAAACTAAATAAGATAAATTTAACAAACTAAATCAATTTAAATTAAATTAATCATACTAAATCAATTAAATTTAAATTAATCAAATTAAAACAATTTGATTTTAAGGTGAAGGGGGGAGAAAAAGTCCTTTATATCTCACAAGGAAAGTCCAATGTTTAATTATTCAACAAAACATTGAGTGCGACCGGTTTTGTTGAATAATTAAACATTGGACTTTCCTTGTGAGATATAAAGGACTTTTTCTCCCCCCTTCACCTTAAAATTACTTCAACTCACACATGGCTACCCCCCTTGTCAACAATTTGATTTAAATTAACCAAACTAAAATAAATAAATCAAATCAATTTTACTAAATCAAACCAATTAAATTAAATCAAAGTAAATTAATTAAACTAAATCAGTTAAATCAAATAATATTAAACTAAATTAATTTATCAAATTAAATTAATTAATCAAAATAAATCAATTAAACCAATTAAATTTAATTTAAAAATTAATCAAACGAAATTGATTAAATTTAAATTAAATTAAACTAAATCAGCCAAACTAAATTAGATTAATTTATCAAACTAAATTAGATTAATTTATTAAACTAAATCAATTAAATTTAAAACTAATTAATCAAATTAAATTAGATTAATTTATCAAACCAAATTAGATTAATTTATCAAAATAAACAAGATGAATTTATCAAACTTGATCAATTAAATTAATCAAACTTGATCAATTAAATTAATCAAACTTGATCAATTAAATTAATCAACCAAACCAACTCAATTAAATTTAAATTATATTAATCAAACTAAATTAAAATTAATAAAACGAAATCAACCAAGTTAATTAACATACATTTTTAAAAATATTCACCTTTCGGGTATAACATGTGACAACTCTATAACAATGTGTACTTATTCTATAGGGTGTTTTTTTGCAGGAATATTCAACAATAATGATTTTTTTATTCAAAATTTTCTTCTAGATGCCTAATGGAATGGACGAGTTAATGTTCCTATTTAAATAAATACCATTACGGATTGTTTTTACATAAACGGTTTAAAAATTCCGATGTTATAGGCCATTAAAAGTCCATTAATAGTTTATTAATAGTTTATTAAACGTTCGTTAATATTCCATGATTAGTCTATTAATAATTAGTTCATTATCAGTCCATGAATAGTCTATTAATATTCCATTAATAATTCATTAATAGTCCATTAAGAGTCCTTTATTAGTCCATTATTAGTCCATTAATAGTCCTTTATTAGTCCATTAATAGTCCTTTAATAGTCCATTAATAGTTTATTAATAGTCCTTTAATAGTTCATTAAACGTTCATTGATATTCCATGATTAGTCTATTAATAGTTAGTTCATTATCAGCTCATTAATAGTTCTTTAATAGTTATTTAATAGTTCTTTAATAGTTCTTTAATAGTCCATTCATAGTTCATTAATAGCCCATTTATATTCCATTAATAGTCCATTAATAATCTATTAATAGTTCGTTAATAGTCCGTTAATAGTTCGTTAATAGTGCATTAATAGTCCATGAATAGTCTGTTAATAATTAGTTCAGAAATGTCTTCTAGATGTCTAATGGAATGGACGAGTTAATGTTCCTATGTAAATAAATACCATTACGGATTGTTTTTACATAAACAGTTTAAAAATTCCCATGTTATAAGCTATTAATAGTCCCTTAATAGTACATTAATAGTCCTTTAATAGTACATTAAGAGTCCTTTAATAGTCCATTAAGAGTCCTTTAATAGTCCATTCATAGTCCATTAATAGTCTATTCATATTCCATTAATAGTTCATTAATAATCCATTAACAATTCATTAATAGTTCATTGATAGTCCACGAATAGTCTGTTAATTATTAGTTCATAATTTTCTTCTAGATGCCTAATGGAATGGACGAGTTAATGTTCTTATGTAAATAAATACCATTACGGATTGTTTTTACATAAACAGTTTAAAAATAATAATAGTACATTAAGAGTTCTTTAATAGTCCACTAATGATCCTTTAAGTCCATTAATAGTTCAAAGTTCATTAAACGTTCATTGATATTCCATGATTAGTCTATTAATAGTTCATTATCAGCTCATTATTAGTTCATTAATAGCCCATTCTTAGTCTTCATATTCCATTAATAGTACATATTCCATTAATAGTCCATGAATAGTTTGTTAATAACTAGTTTACTTTTTACTAATTTAATTTTTTCTTGTCGGTTTTTAGTCCATTATTAGTACATTAAGTCTTTTAATAGTCCATTAATAGCCCTTTAGTTATTCCAATAATAATTCATTAAAGGTTCATTGATATTTCATGATAGTTCATTATCAGCTCATTAATAGTTCTTTAATAGTTCATTAATAATTCATTATTAGTCCATTAATAGTCCATTAATAATCCATTAATAGTCCCTTAATAGTCCATTAATAATCCATTAATAGTCCATTAATGGTCCATTAATAGTTCATTAATAGTCTATGAATAGTCTGTTAATAATTAGTTCATTAACAGCCCACTAATAGTCAATTAATAGTCCATTAATAATCAATTAATATGTCATATATTTTTCAATTCAGCCTAAAATAATTTTCTAGTCGGTTTTCTGTCTATAACGATTTTTTGTCGGAAATATCTAAATTGGAAACGTTTCAAAAGACGTGGTAATTTTTTTTAGGCATACTGTCCAGGACAGGAGCACAGAGAGCACGTCGCAAGCCTTCTGGCTCGCCAACGCCAGCGAACTTCTTCATTTTCTAAAATCCGATCGACATGTCAGCGCTTTTTCATTGCAAGCGCAAGATACTCTGGCGGACGCGGTCCAACTAGCGTTCAAGAACTTGGTGGCTTGTTTGACAGACGAATTGAACGCGGCTTTGACGTATTTGATGTCCGTCACCGGAGACGATCATCCCAGGGAGATTATTAACGTACTAAGCGGAGCCATGAATTTGTTAAGGAAGTGTCGGGTCAATGCCGCTTTGACGATACAGTTGTTTTCGCAGCTGTTTCATTGGGTGTCGGCCAAAGTAAGTTATTGGTTTATTCCATGACAACCCATTTACTAAACATCTATTTATTTCAGGCTCTATCGAACGTTATCAGCAACAGCAACTTGTGTACGAAAAACTTCGGTCAAAAATTGTTTAACCGTTTGCGGAATCTTCAAGCTTGGACCGAATCGCAAGGACTCGAATTGGCGGCCGAATGTCATCTGGCGAAAATCGTGCAATGCGCCCATCTTTTGCAAGGACCCAAATACGCTCCCGAGGATTTGGCCAATCTCTCTGCGGCTTGTTTCAAGTTGAACTCGATGCAATTGGGGGCATTACTGATGCAGTACAAAGGTATGTAATTCGTGATAGGACTTAAAGAAAGAAAATAATCGATTAATTGAAAATAAATGATTATAAGAAAATAATTGATTATTTAAAAAAATCGATTATTTGAAAAGTCGATTAATCGAAAAAAATCGTATCATTGAAAAAATCTATTCATCAAAAAAATCGATTCATTAAAAATAATCGATTAATTTAAAAAATCGTTTGATTAGTTCATTAACAGCCCATTAATGGTCCTTTAATATTTTATTAATAGCCCATTAATTGGTCCATGAATAGTCTATTAATAATTAGTTCATTAACAGACCTTTAATAGTCCAGTAATAGTTCATTGATAGTCCATAAATAGTCTATTAATAGTTAGTTCATTAATAGCCCATTAATAGTCCTTTAATATTTGGTTCATTAACAGCCCATTAATAGTCCTTTAATAGTTCATTTAAAGTCCATTAATTATCCATTAAGAGTCCATTAAGAGTCCTTTAATAGTCAATTAATAGTCCATTAATAGTTCATTGGTAGTCCATGAATAGTCTATTAATAGTTAGTTCATTAACAGCCCATAATAGTCCTTTAATAGTTCATTTAATAGTTTATTAATAGTTCATTGTTTGGTCCGTGAATAGTCTATTAATAGTTAGTTGACATTTGGTATTTGACGAAAATAGCATAAAGTTTGATAGATGACATTTAGTATTTGACAGTTGACATTTACTAGTTGACAGTTTATCAAAAAGTTTTAAAATCGATAATAGACATGTAGTATTTGACATTTCATGTATTTGAATTTCTGGTTGATTTTGACGCTGACGCTAAAATGTCAATCGAAATGCTGATTAGGCGACATTAAGTTAGACAGAATTAAAATTGAAACATAATTGTTATCAGCTTAGAAAAAGTCGATCCTGCTGTTGACATAAAAAGATTAATTGACAATTTGGTATTTGACGAAAATAGCATAAAGTTTGATAGATGACATTATTAGTATTTGGCAGTTGATATTCACTAGTTGACAGTTTATCAAAAAGTTTACAATCGACAATAGACGTGTAGCATTTGACATTTCGTGAATTTGAACTTCCGGTTGATTTTGATGATGACGCCAAAATGTCAATCGATGTGATGACTGGACGATATTAAGTTAGACATAATTAAAATTAAAACATAATTGCTATCACTTTAGAAGAAATTAATCTTCCTGTTGACATAAAAAGCTTGATTGACATTTGGTATTTGACAAAAATAGCATAAAGTTTGATGGATGACATTTAGTACTTGGCAGTTGACATTTAGTACTTGGCAGTTGACATTTACTAGTTGACAGTTTATCAAAAAGTTTTACAATCGATAATAGATATTGTAGCATTTGATATTTCGTGAATTTGAACTTCTGGTTGATTTTGACGCTGACGCTAAAATGTCAATCGAAGTCCTGATTGACGATATTAAGTTAGACAGAATTAAAATTGAAACATAATTGTTATCAGCTTAGAAAAGTCTATCTTGTTGTTTACATAAAAAGCTTAATTGACATTTGGTATTTGACGAAAATAGCATAAAGTTTGATAGATGACATTTAGTATTTGGCAGTTGATATTTACTAGTTGACAGTTTATCAAAAAGTTTTACAATCGATAATAGACATTGTAGCACTTGATATTTCGTGAATTTGAACTTCTGGTTGATTTTGACGCTGACGCTAAAATGTCAATCGAAGTCCTGATTGACGATATTAAGTTAGACAGAATTAAAATTGAAACATAATTGTTATCAGCTTAGAAAAGTCTATCTTGTTGTTTACATAAAAAGCTTAATTGACATTTGGTATTTGACGAAAATAGCATAAAGTTTGATAGATGACATTTAGTATTTGGCAGTTGATATTTACTAGTTGACAGTTTATCAAAAAGTTTTACAATCGATAATAGACATTGTAGCACTTGATATTTCGTGAATTTGAACTTCTGGTTGATTTTGACGCTGACGCTAAAATGTCAATCGAAGTGCTGTTTAGACGATATTAAGTTAGACAGAATTAAAATTGAAACATAATTGTTATCAGTTTAGAAAAAAGTCGATCTTATTGACATAAAAAACTTAATTGACATTTGGTATTTGACGAAAATAGCATAATGTTTGATAGATGACATTTAGCTTTTGGTAGTTTATCCTTAGTTTTTGACAGTTGACATTTACTAGTTGACAGAAAGTTTTATAGTCAACAATAGACCTGTAGCATTTAACATTTCGTGAATTTAAACTTCTGGTTGAAACATATTCGTTATCACTTTAGAAGAAGTCGATCTTGCTGTTGACATAAAAAAAGCTTGATTGACAATTTGGTATTTGTCGAAAATAGCATAAAGTTTTATAGATGACATTTAGCTTTTGGTAGTTTATCCTTAGTTTTTGACAGTTGACATTTACTAGTTGACAGAAAGTTTTATAGTCAACAATAGACCTGTAGCATTTGACATTTCGTGAATTTAAACTTCTGGTTGAAACATATTCGTTATCACTTTAGAAGAAGTCGATCTTGTTGTTGACATAAAAAAAGCTTGATTGACAATTTGGTATTTGTCGAAAATAGCATAAAGTTTGATAGATAACATTTAGTATTTGACAGTTAACATTTACTAGTTGACAGTTTTATCAAAAAGTTTTACAATCGATAATAGACATAGCATTTGACATTTCGTGAATTTATAAGGTTGATTTTGACGCTGACGCTAAAATGTCGATCGAATTGCTGATTAGACGATATTAAAATAGACAATTAAAATTTAAACATAATTGTTATCAACTTAAAAAAAGTCGATCTTGTTGTTGACGTAAAAAGCTTAATTGACAATTTAGTATTTGAAGAAAATAGCATAAAGTTTCATAGATGACATTTAGTATTTGTCAGTTAACCTTTAGTATTTGACAGTAGGCAGTTTCACCAAAAAGTTTAAAGTCCACAATAGACGTGTAACATTTGACATTTTGTGAATTTAAACTGGTTAAGTTTGACGTTAAAATTGCAATCAATGTGCAGACGATATTAAGTTAGATAAAATTAAAATTGCTATCACTTTAGAAGAAATCGATTTTGTTGTTGACATAAAAAAGTTTGAGTGACATTTGGTATTTTGCGAAAATAGCATAAAATTTGATAGGTGACATTTAGTATTTACTAGTTGACAGTTTTATTAAAAAGTGTTACAGTTGACAATAAATTTGTAGCATTTGACGTGTTAATTTGTCAATAACTTTACTTTTCTTAAATTTTAAATTATTTTTTATTCTGTAACTTTTTAGTAATTTTATTAACGTGCCAAAAAATGTTTGTCTTTTCTAAGGCAAACAAAGATTATTATTATATCATTTTTATTTCGTCAATTTGAACTTCTGGTAAATGTAAACTGCAATGAAACTCACAATCCTTTAATTGCTATTCGGAAAGATCGAAAAGGGTTTTATCGCTATAGATTTAGCGACGATATAAATCGGGATTTTCGAATTTTAGTGCCGGTAAAACAGCTCTTCTAAGCGCGTTTGAAATAACCGGTATTAAAAGTGTGGAGGAATAGCAATTTATACGGCAGGAAGTTTATGGTTTGATTTTTATGTCCGATTTTACGGAAAAGAGAAACGCAGATTATTACTGAATGTATTTTGTTGTTAAAGTAAAACCAATTGTTCGTTTAACAATTAAAAAACGATTTCACAAAATAATCATCTATTTTGTATACAGGGTTTGACATATATATCGAAACATTCAATTTCTAAATAAATTAAAAGTTTATTTGTTTTGAAAAGTCTTTATAGACGAATATTGATTATCAATAGTTTTGAAAACATGGCGCAGTCATCTTGTTGTATTTATATTTGTTTTTCTACTATCTTTGTGCATTTATAAACTTTAAATCATCTACGAAAAGAAGGCATTGGTTATTAAGAAAACAGGACGTAACATCATTAAAAAGTAAGGAAAATAATAGGAGATCAATATGTGAACCTTAAGGAATACCGGACAGAACTGCAACGTCGCATATGGATACAAAAATGTTGGAGAAAGAAAAGAAGAAAGACTCAGAAAGATATGGATACAACAAGTGGCTGAATTAGGCAGAAAAAAGGGAACATCATAAAAGAGATTAGACAGATGCTACTGACCTGGAAAGCATGGACGAGATAGACCTCTGACGCTCTGTAAAGAGCATAAGGAAGCAAGAAAAAGAAGAAGAAAGTGTTAACAATTCTTGGATTCTCAAATATTTTTTAGTGAAAAAGTTTTACTAAAATAATTTTTTTCTTGTTTTAACACATACCCCACCCCGTATATTAATTGCAATTTTTGCTTGAACATTGATATTAATTCATTCTTGACATCTCAGAATATCAATGAGGTGTTGCATAGGAAAATGTATAATGAAATGAATCAGGAAACCTGTCAATATAAAATAACTTTGAGTCTATAAGAAAAACAATCTGTTCTCGATAATTTAAAGCATGTGACTGCAAAAAAAACTTAATTATAAATTTGATGGGCGTTTATAATTATCGTTAAAATAGGAAAAATATATTAATTTTCCAATATATAAATAAAATATGTTGTTTATCACTGTCGCATTTTTAACACGCTAATCATTTATCCATTAATATTAAGAAATATTGGCCAAATTGGTAAAAATAAACACATATTATGGAATTTTTCTGTTACAGACTATTTGACGTGCATAATAATTGAAATTAAAAAAAAATGTAGCAAATAGAAGTCCAATTAAGAGTTATCTAAAAAAGTTTAATTTTTTTGATCTTCAGAGGTTAAATTGGAAGTTTCTCCACAACCGTCTTTAACTAATTAGCCACGATTATTGAAAATTGGCAACGTTGCAAGTAGTGCTATTTCTTTGACTCAAATATTATATTAAATTGATGTTTTTACACTAGTGGAAAAATTAAGGGATAAAAAAAATCTCGATTTTTCGAGTGGCTGTATCTTTGGTAAAAATGGTCGTACA